TGGGTCTCAGTCTCCATCTCCTAAGCCTCCCCATGACAACAATGGCAAGGGATTGGGGAGGGGGGAAATAAGTCAAGTTTTGCTGGGTACCAGCACATGTCGTATCCCTGGCAGTGAACACTTGGCACGTTCCAATGCCTTGGTCCACAACTCCACAACTTTCCACACCAACTTTAATAACCACTGTTGGAAAACTTCTGGTTAGGGGCTGACCACCAATAAACTGCTTCCATCTCCTTGTCCAGCCCCAATATCACCAGAAGAAAAACCCTAAACTGCTCTTACTCGGTTACATAAGTCATCTGGCATCAGATTCATACTTCATGTCACTCTCCAACCTACGTTCATGCTCATCATGCAGTATTCCTTTTTCAGTCCACATGTTCCTACTAACCTGTCCCTGTTTTACTCCTGTACCTTGTTTTTCCTTACTTGTCCTTCATCTATCTTCTTCAGCTCTCCCCCCCCCCCACCCAACCTGTCAGACCCTCATGGAACCCTCATTTTTCCAATTGCCAACCTGTTCTCCCTCCGCAGACACACAAATACCCTCCATTTGAGCTAATCACCCTCTGTCCTTAACCCTTCCCCCTCATACCAATCCCTATCCTACCCCATTTACTCCCCATCTTTCTACCCCTTTCACTACCATACCATCTTATAATACCAAATAACTGTTGTAATCTAAGACATTTTGTTCAAATAAAGAATTTCTTTAAACCCCTCTCATCGTAATAGTTTACCATGGTGCTATATGACCTTTGGCATCCAGCATAATTATTCACTTAAAGTATTAACCATTCTTCTTCTTCTCCTCTTATTAGTATGGTTATTAAAAGCAGATACATTTCATATATAATTTTTTTTATTTTACAATTACTTATACAATTTCAAATTACAACTTCATTCATTTATCACATCAGTTTCACTTAAAACTTATTTCAAACATCTTTGTTAAGAAAATACTAGTGTGCTATCAACATATTATCTCCATTATATAATCTCCAGAATCATTTCTTTACATAAGATCAGCTTTTATGGTAAATAGTAATCATATAAACAAACTGTGCTTCTATTCATTACTACACACTTTATTTATACTTCCACAACAAACATTCAACTTCTCTCTATATATAAACCATTAATCAATGTGATTACAAAACACTCCAGTGCCTCTTATGATAAGGAATGTTTTACACAACCTGTAGAAACTCCACCAGATCACGTTATGATATGCAACGGACTGCGAACCCCTTTGGGTATGGTGACATTGTGAATGTTCTGTGCCAGAGACCAGTACCGCATGCGCATCAGATGACCGGCCATCTTGGGTTGCCGAGCTCTTGTGAACAGACCCTTCATGCAGGCACCAGGACGGTTGTACTCTGTAATAATTAAGCATCTGATTGTAAATGGGATCTGATGAGGTAGTCTAATATTGGCTGCTTAAAGTCCTACACCAATATTGCAAAGATTACCTTCCAACATGAACACCCCCTGAAGTTTATATTGGTGGAGAATCCTGCCCTGTCTGACCATACTGACCCCTTCCCCCTTAATGCAAGAAGTTTTGCCATTTTTGCCACCCTGCTAGGCACTGTCACTCTACAGCCTGCTATATGTGCCCATCGTGGCCAAGATCGTTCAAACTGCCATGTGTAATCACACAAATATGCCAATTATGGCTCCCATATATCTATATATATATTTTTTTCAAAGGGGCTGCACTACCTACCTCATCTTATGTGAGGCCAAGTCATCTTGAGGTCATACAAACCTATCTAATGACCTAAAGTAATGCACCTGTCAATCATTCATCCTCCAAAATCTATTCCCTCTAAACTCAAAAGTGACTGCCGACATCCATCCTCCTTCTATTCAGGTTCCCTCTACCTATTCCTCCCCCTCCCTCCCAATACACCCCATCTCCCCTGCTTCATCTACATAAGTCCCTTCTTCCTTCCTTGTTATCCCTTCTACTTCTTCATATCCCCCCTCCTGACATTTCTCCTGAAACTGCTCTTTGATCTAATTGCCCTTGATTTCCCCTCCCCTTTTGCTAATCCTTATCTTAAGGACTATCCACACAGGTGGGCAAGATGGTCGGGCACAGGGAGTGGGCATGAACAGAGATGATGTTATGGGCGGCAAACTACACCGTAAACAAGTAGTTTCCTTGTTGTTTTATCACCTGTGACTTCACCTTTAGTTGCCCCAGCGTGGACAGGACTTTCCCACTACAGAATCCCACTTTTTCGTTTGATAACTATGATTTAATCACTCATGTTAATCCCTACCGTAACCCATTTACTCACCTTCTCTACCCCTTTCAATGCTATACTATCCTAAGCTCCTGTACGGCTTTCGACATGTAGCACATTACATCATTAATTAACCCCTTCTTTACCCTTTTCGCTACTACACCTTTCTATAGTACTGTTTGACCTTTGATGTATAAGCAATTATTTTGCTTTGTAAAAATTATCCACTGAGAACATCCATTTCTTCCTCTTTTTCTGTCTCTCATTTGTTGTGATACTTATGTAAAGATTTGGTAATAAGTGCTATGCAATATTCAATACCCATATTCTGAGATGGTCATTTATAAATTCAGGAACACCCAATTGACCATAAAACTACTCCTCTGTGAAATTAGTATTGTAAAATTTGAGAAATATCTAAATCAACTTATCCATATACAAAAAAAACTCTTACCCATCGGTGTGGAAAAGTCAGCAAAGTTCCATATCATCTCGCCAAAAAAGTAACCTTTGCTTCTGAGTGTATCAAAGGCTTTGAAATTCTCCACCATCAAATCTGCTTGGTATTCTTCAGTCCATGTGAATGAAGGGTCCTTAAATATAAAAAAAAAAAGGTGAAAACTGGTGAAGGCAGAACAAGAAAACATAGGTTTCTTTTTATACAAATAAATCTTTAACTTTTCCATTATCATTAGTGTTATCTTTTTTTGTTGTTGTTAAAAGATAAAACTACAACTTATATTATACAGCTTAATTTCAAAGTCTTGAAGCTGAAATGGTTAAAATATAACTGAAGCCATAATAGTTATAACAAAACTTGCAATATTAGTCCCAATTTCAATCATTCTATAGCCTGTTCAATACAATTTTCAACAGATCTTAATCCTGCACCACCAGAGCATGTCTGCCAACATACAGTTGAGAGAGACCTGGCTTGGTTCACGCCCACACCTCCCCACAACCCAGTCCCCTTCCTAACTCTGTTATACTAGGCTCTCCTTGCTGCCATGAATACTCTGCACTTACGATCACCTTTATCTTAGTATTTCAAATTTAATCATAACCATATATATTTTTTTTAACATTAAAAAATGTCCACAGACATGGAAGGAGATGAGTATCACAAAGTCCAGTGTTTAAGGGTTCAATAGTTACCATATGGAAACCAGCAATGGACCCAGCTCCATACTCCGAGATCATAACAGGCTTGTTGTGGAGGAGATGCCACTCCATGAACTCATTCACAGTCTGATTATAAAGCCTCTGGTGCTGTGTTGTACCAGGAGAAGTAGCGATTCACCAAAATCACATCTAGGCTGCTTCCCTGGAAAAGGCAAAACATGAAGCTGTGAATCATGTACATAAAGATATATGTATTCTTTATTTCTTCATTTCAATACATTTTTGTGTAACAGGTTTATTTCAAAAAGTTGTCTTGCATATTTTCAAATAAAATCTTAAAAGTACAATCACATGTAGAGAAACATACAAGCAATATAATGCATCACACAATCTACCAACTGACATTTTCTCCACAAACAGACAATGCATATCTGTCACACACATATAGAATATATAGCATTTACATTTTTTAGGCAGTATAGAGGTAATTCATATCAAGCAACAAACAAATCTAAAAACGAATAACATGGATAAACAATCCCAACAATCTAAAAAAGCATTCAATTTACTATAAATTTCAAATATTTCAAATTAATTATATCCAATCAAACTGTAATAAACACAGTCATATAAAGATGCAGCACCAAAATTCAAAAGAGAGATGGAATACAAGAAGCAGACAAAGAATAAGAAGGACCCAGAAATATCGAAGACGTTCTTAGCCCCAGACCCTGAGTAACCCCTCGCTGTTCTGGGTTGCATTTAGGTTACAACACAATTACACTCCCCTTGGTACCTAGGCTGGTTCTAAGGTGTTCTTTACTGATGTTACAACAGCATAGCAATATTGGAAAATTTTTGAGTCGATCCCAGATGATTTACTACCTGTGAAAAAAAGATACTGAGAGCTGGGCAAACAAATTTAAGGTCTGACTTACTGAGTTCTAGCTTGAGTGGTGGCGCCTGAATCAGATAAAGCCAAAGTTCCAATAGCTTTACCCGCTTCTGGAGCCAGGCTGAAGCCAGATATTTTCACCTTTTGACCAGACTTAAGTGGACTGACTCTCTACAGAATTCAAGGAACCAGACCTAGAGACTTCTCTGCTCAATTCCTCCTAATTGTCAGCAACCGCCTTGGAAATTTGTTATATGGTGCTACAGTTATGAAAGCAGTAAAAATGTTTTGAAGCAGCCACAGGTACCTTAGGGATCATGAGTGAGTCAAATGAGGCTGGGAATCCTGGCTAAAGCACAATTAATTTTTCCGTCAAAAGAAAACAGGTCTAAAACTTGCAAAAAATAAAACAAATTTTAGATTCTGAAAGGTCTTTGGAGGAAATCATAACAAAAAAACAACAACATATCTACCATTAATAAAAATGAAATGTATATCACACTGACCAAATAATTTAGAAACTAGTAGTTACTATACACACAAGACATAACTAACCCTAGACTATATTAGTTTTATCAGAGTTTCAGCAAAGCATGCTACACATACATGCAGCATGCACATGCACCACTTCTATGCTGCTAAATGAGTGAGAAATGCTGCTAGCTGAGTGAAGAAATACATGTAAGGGAACATACAGCATGTTCTTCGTCTTTTGGATAATTGAGAACACAAGTAACTGGACGGGTAGCATCAACTGCTTTGGTGGCATTCACAACATTGCTGCAGAATAAACAAAATCAGACTATATAATTTTTGGAAGACATATCATAACAACATGTAAACTGGATGACGCTTGCATGAGAATTATATTCAATCTGACCGCTTATTCCCTTCTAAAGTAATGCATTTCTTGTTTTGCTAAAGGTGACTCATGCTTAACTATATATATTAAAAAGTATCATTACATTTTTAGCACGAGTAACTATACCTGGTTTATCGGTCTTACTTGAAAGGGATCAGTAACTACTAGTCAAAATATGGTTGGTCCTACACATAATTCATCAAGATAATCATTTACACCTGACAAACTAACATAGTCACACGATGAAAAATAAAGTATATACAGTGTTTTTTCCTCCCTGAATTACTTTCTGTTTATAGGATTGCAGTAAAGGGAAAGGCTACTTACATCACTTGTAATATAAAATGTTATTGGAAAAAAATGATAGTGACATCAGTACATATTCAGTGTGGCAGACAGTTGATCAATGTCATACTGAATGTACAGTAAAGTCGGTAAGCGCACCTTGATTGAGCACAGATGTTATTGGTCTAGACTGATTTGCACCACAAATAGCATCTACTACTGTGTCTTGTATATAATAGGTAAAACCTTATAAAATCACGTATTGCAAATAATATTTTTTGTGTGAGCGGAACTCTGATTTTGGACTGGAAGAATGCCAACCAGGAATGCTTTACTTTTCACCTCATTGAGACCTGTCTTTGAGATTTTTTTTATTTCACCTAATGCAACACACACAAATCATAAACCTGATGTACTTCCAGACACAGATACAAAGCAATAATCAGTTGACTATACAGCACAAGTGATATCATACATGCAGATCCTCTAAAATCAGTTAGGAAATGCATCAACATTATCAAGTCTTTACATACAGCTAAGTCTGTGTGTTTGTCAGCGCTCAAGACACACGTGACAGAGCGTGTTGGGTCAGCTTCTTTAGTAGCATTAACCACAGCGCTGGAAAGAAGTGTGTAAATCTTATTTCATTCAGAAGTTTTAAAGTTGAATGAAACAGCTAAATTAAGTGAAATTAAGTTAGGGTTTAAAGGATTCCCTTTTTTGACAATTGCCCATCATCTTAATGTACTGATCACTAAGATTTTTAACAATTCAAAATAAAATTTTGAGGTTAACACTTCATTGTATACCAATTAAATTCATCTTTTACCAGTTGATCACTGAAACATTAATGGAAAATTCACTCTTTACTGTTTGGTTTAAAAGCAGTCTTAACATCAAAATATAATTTTTGAATAAAACTTGAGTTGCTCTCCTAAATGTTACACAGATGGGTTATTTGCCAATAAACATTCGTGAAACTTAACCCACTGCCAACAGAAGACATATATAACCATACACTGACTGACTGTTTCCAGGAACCAGCACATGGCTCTGCATTGCATGGGAAACCTCTATCAGCATACAAAATATCGAAGTCTCCTTTTTTTATGGAAGCAGGCAGCACATGGCTTATCAAAGCTGCAGATATCACAGTACTACTGGCCTAAGCCCTGGTTTCCTAGTGATCTCTGGGGCACACTTTTCCACTCTGGGTACACAGCCACTATGCCCCATCCAGTCTCACGAAAGGTGGAGAACTAGAAACCCAATTCTAGAATGGAGTAACTGAGCAATCTGCCAAGTCCCTTTTGAGAAAGGTATGGAAAGTGGTGCAAAGGGCATTAAAAATATATATTTTGGAGTTTTATAAAAATGCCAGAGGTATGCAGACATTGGTAGTAAATTATAATGTCAGCCTGATTATTATTATTTTTAAAGTAATAAAGAAATTGCCAATCGTGAGATAATATCTTTCCAGACCATAAGGCTTGGGTGTGTTCGCTCTGTGTTTCCCTTCCTGAGACTTCTATGAATTGTGTGACTATACTACTAATCCACTTCCTTATAATGGCATTAGATTTAAAGCTAGTTAACTTGAAACTTAAGCCATACTGCCTTTTCTAAATATATTTTCTTACTAACTCTAAGTACATTCCAATAAAAATGAAAACAACTTCCAAATCTTTTGACTGCATGATCATACTTTACATATATACCTTCATATAACAAATTTTAACAGAATTCTTCCTACCTGAAATACTCTTTTGCAGCAGGCTCGTAAGACTTTGGCTCATTCCCAACACTCCACATGATGACACTCGGGCGATTCTTGTCACGGCGGACAAATTCCTGCATGACTGCTATGTGGCGCTTCATTAACTCCTCGCCAAAACCACTGGTGAAAAAAGAAAATGAAGCCATTCTATTATCAAATCCCCAACACAATTTTACACTTGTCGAATTACTGTATTGTATATGTACATAAAGCATTATTCCAAAAAGTGTATTAAATCAAATATTTTTCATGTGAATATATCTATCTAATTAGAAAATCTATTTCTGTGAATCCGATAAGCCTACTTTGATTTTTGAAACTCTTTATATAGCATTAAATAAAAACACAAATATTTATTTCTCCAAGAAATTTTTATAGAATATCAGCTTTCGAGACGCTTTACTGGTACAATGGGATACAGTGCCAGGGAGCGATCTTGCCCCTCATCTAGAAATTATTAGGATTGCCGCGCTTCCTGGGTACTGGCCATCGGATCACATGGATATCCAACTTCGGAATAGGGGGTAGCTGGATGGTACGTATTCGGGGATCCTCTTTGGCACTCGCCCAGAAGACCCACTTTGTTGACGAGTGGTTCTGAAGGGTCTTTCACGTTCAGGTGGGGTCAGGTTCACTGCCCTTTTGCACATTGGCGGGATTTCTTTCTATAGATTTACCAAGGGATCTCATAGAGCTAGTACGGTAAATGAAATGGATAGGTATAAAATTTCTCTCATCACTACGATGGGGATAAGACTTTTAGAAGTCATACAAACTCTGTCAGTAGATCAAACAATTATATTCTTTCTGAGGATATTTAATAAAGAGGTAATAGGTAGGCATCATGCACCGGGCGCAGAGAACGGTCTAATCGCCCAGGCCATTGGTCTTCGATTTCACCTCGACATGTCATAGATGCTACAACTTGGACACAGCAGTCACGATATGTCATGGATCGTGGCGAGAACACAATGTCGGGTTCTGCTCTTGGGGACAATATGAGCAGAGGCGGATCTCTTCTTCGGCTTTGGGACTGGGAAAGACCCAGACGTAGGAGGGGAAGGGTTCACATCAAGAAGGATGCGGAGTCGTGCAGCACTAACTTCATCTTCTGAAAGGGAATACTACAGGTCACGCGCAGGCAAGCAATCTAGAGATTGCACTGCATTTCAGAGACCAGCTGACACTTCGTGACAGGTCTGCCTTGAAGGTGAAGTGGAAGAATACGCTCGATTTTCAGGTTCTTAGGAACTATCGCAGTCGCTTTATAGTTGAGGGCTGGAGTTTATTAGGCCTCTGGTACTTATACTGT